AGTGCCCTTTGGGAGGGGAATTATTCACTGCAAATTACTGATGATGACAGTAATGATGAAAGTAATACTATTACAGCATAGCAGTGTTGCTGGGCTTCTAGTACTGACCATTAATACCCTTCACAAGAATAAACAGAATTAGTTGCACAAGTGTCCACTTTTACAGTTTTAATAATTGCCTTTACAGGGCTTGGAATGCCTTCCCAGGACATTGCAAAACCTTTTTCTGTATACCTCAGTGAGTACTCACAAATGACCCAAAGATTGTTTTCATTCCTAATCATAGTTGCGATTCTGTTGGCACTTACGAGACACGCAGGTGAGCCACTACCATGTGGATTTAATTAAATTACAGAATCAATGAATCAATCAGCCATCGCCATCTGTTTAAGGACAGATGGTGCTATAAATCAGAGATTGGTGGGAGTGCAGATGCTATGAGGGATCTCAAGATTTTGGCATGTGCAAGACAGTACGATTCTGACAAGTGATTGTAGGAAGCGTTCATCTGAAAAAGCACAAAATACATAGTGTTACAAATCCTTTTTTGGCCCTGTACCAAATGGCACCTGCATCACTTCTCTTGGCTTGCCACATGGCCTGCTGAGTAATAGTCCGGCACGAAGTCCACACCTCTGCAGGCTCTACAAAAGTCCACATCGAGGAGCATGTGACCCCTAAAATGACAAATGGCTTCACAGACATGCACAAAACCAGGAATGTTTGCGTTTTGAATTCCCTAGATATTATTTAGCATTGTCATTCATATTTTAAAATAGACATTATAGTGTAACAGTCTTATTTTAGTATTAATTATAATAATAAAATTTGTGTTAATAATTTGAAATATCTTTTATTTAAAATTTTTGTTTATTTTTGTAATTTTGCCTTTTTTTTAAAAGATTTTAAATATTACTATTTAGGTTTAATTTATTTTTATCCCAGTTACCAAAAATGAACAAAATGTATTTAATAGTTTTAATTAACTAAAGTAACCCTGTTACATAATGCTAAACTTTTAAACTAAAAAAAAAAAAAAAACAGACTTTCCAAGCAGCTTCCTCTCAGACTGAAGCAGACTGGGGTTCATTTAACCCTAGTTGCGGAATTACTGCCATGATAAACTGCGTATTCTGCAGCCTAGCTAAAAGTACCTGCCATATTAGCTCCAAAAATTGACAAATCACCGGGCTCATTATTTTGAGATGCAGATTGAATCGTTAGAGGGGGCAGTTCAATGACTCAAGGAGGATGAGTGTTATCACTGTCGAGTCAGATAAGCTTACGGAGTGAAAATCAGACACTGCTGCTGCCTGATAGATGACAAGGTGTCCATTTGTATTCTTCCCTGTTACTGAGCCTGTCAGACATTGCAATGACTAATAGTAAATGATGGACCACAGCTGAGTGAAATGAATATGATACAGAATGAAACCTGTCTTGGCACTATATTTATCTACAGGCTGAAACATTTATTTTACATTGTATAGCCTGTCCATGGCATGTTACAAATTGTGTGAACGTGGCATTTATTTGCCCAACAATATTAACGCTTAAACTCCTTTTTTTGCCCAACAATATTAACGCTTAAACATAATTAGTGGTGCTTTGCTATTAGTATTGCTGATATGTGGTGTTAGGGATTTGAACAAACTCGTAATCTTTAATATTAAACTATACGGACATTAGGGTTGGGCCGATAGACGATGCCATTGTGCAAAAATGGCAAACGAATTATAGGCTACTAGATGTTTTACATGAACTATATGAAGCATACAAAAACAGCAACAAAATTTAAAACAATTTAAATTAAATTAGATTAAATAGGCTACACTAAATATGCCTTCTTCATGGTTTTACCATGGCAGACAGTGGTTAGAACAAAAACAAGTTTAAATATTAAGGTTTCTGGCCAGAAATACTAACATGTTCACCTTTTCTGGCTTTTATAAGCTGCGAAGTGGAGTAACAACACTACCCGTTGTGCTGAACACATGTTCAGATAGAGCACTGGTAGCACATATGCACAAATATTTTCGTGCGATGTTGGCCATGAGAGGGAACCATCCTTGGTTAGCTTTCCACCAAGTTAGTGGGTCTTCTTCTCCATCAATAGCCATTTCCTGTAGGTAGATGTCGACATTTCCTGTCGACATCTCTGATTCACCTTTTTGATCAGCAGTGAGCATGGCTGCTGTGCTGCTCTTTTCCCAAGAAGGCTCCCCAATGAACCCTTTTTCTTCTTCCTCTTCTCTCACTTGTACGGGACTGGGTGTCGGACTTGTGGGTGTTGCTGCTTCTGGCACCGTCTCTGCTACCAGTTCAGTTTTTGTGGCACTTAGCCCGGGTGGCTTGATGTGATCTCCTCTGTATCTTAGGTCAAGCAAGGTTGCTTTGCGCATCATCCTCTGGGTGGCATCATGGCCATTTTTGCCTTCCATCTGCTCAAAGATGACGCGCTTCAGGTCGGCTATGAGTTTGGCATCCTGCTCTTACTCCTCCAGCACACCTTCCAGGTGGGCTAACATGGGCGGAAGTGAGGAAACAGTAACATAGTTTTCTCCGGAGAGAATATCTGTAAACTCTGCTACTAGCTTCAACCTGCTTTTAACCGCTCCCAGAACACTTATGTCCTGCCATGTAAGCTGCAGGAGCGGGCGGTGGCTTTTGTCCTGAGCAAACACCTGTTTGATGTATTGCACCTGCTTCAGGATTCTTTATTAGTGTTCTAAGCAAGCTAGAAGCAAGTTTGTAAGCCCCCTGTAAAGTAATGTGTAGCCACATAAAATGACATCTGGCTTTGTTTATCTAGTAAGTGTGAGCCACAAATTTAGTAAAAAGTTGTAGTGTTCATTTTTCCCTGTGCATTTCAGTTTATCCTGTCATAGTTCAAACTTATTTTTCCTCATGCTAAATTGTCAATTTAATTATTCAATTGAATACAAATAATATTGAGAATATTCTGAAATAGATCTCTCTCTCTCTCTCTCTCTCTCTCTCTATATATATATATATATATATATAT